AGTTGGCTATAATCATCTCATATCCAACAAGCGCGAGTGGAATAATTGTTTTATTAAAAACGTTAAATTAAATTATAAAATTATATTAAATTTTAAGCTCCCTTTTAATTTTAAGCTGACACATACGCTTGCCATATTTGTAGATTATGGTATATTGGCTGATATACCATAATGGCTAAGCCAATAAAAAGTCTTGAATTACATTATCCAATGATCTAGTTTTTAATAATTATGTTTACACGCTAAAACAAGTATGGGATGTGGGTGGATAGGAGGGGGGTAGCAATTATATTGGAGCGTTTTCATTATTTGGGGCGACTTTTGAGGCCAAGTTTGGTCTAAGTTAGTGCCCAGTCATTCAAATTGAATCTGCGCCGAAAGTCTTTGGACCCATGCCACTCCCGTCTTGCAAAAACGTAAGCACGTAAGCACGTAGGCACGTAAGCACAAAGCTTTGAGGCGGGTTTGTTTGCGGTCTCGAACTTCTCGAAATTAGTTGATTTTTGATCGCGAGAATATGGTCTTATCGTCCAAATGATATTGCTGGTGGTAAATGTTAAAGAAATGAAAAAAGCAGATGATGAATTGTTTAGTCTTACCGAAAAGAAAAGGTTAAACGACGATGGAGAAAGTCAATCTAAAGCGGGAGTTGGTCATCATGAAGAAGATTTCATGGAAGAGGAATTTGACGGAGATTTCTGGATTAAGGTAATGAAAACAGCACTCTATATACTCTAACGAGCAGTTTTATTGCAAAAGCTATAATGATTAGAAAATCCTCAATAGCGATGTGCCGCATCAGTCATTTTTGACTGAACGTGTTGTAGACCAGCTACATGTGTAAAATTTGACTTGACACTTTGAAAACTTTAACCTTCCTATTTACTAAGACGGTAGTGCAAACGGCACCTAAGTCTTAGTTGACGCTCTATCCATCAGTTAAGAAAAAATGGCATATACTGAGATAGATCCGTCTATTTTTCGATTTACAAGAAACTGTAGAAAGGAAAACAAAACTGAATGAATCGATGGAGGTATTTTACACATGGGTAATTAACCAAGTGTGAGGTCGAGATGGCTGGATATTGGCCGAGTTCTTGGAACGAGGCCAATAACCAGCCATCTTGACTGAACAAGCTTGGTTAATAAAGGATTTATTATATTGCAAAAAGATTTCGCTTTAATAATAATCAAGAGTGACTTGTTAACTTCGAGAGCATGGAAAGAAAGCCAACTGTGTTTTTAGCACAACAACTCGCAAAAGTCGTTTCTGTTTTCTTCGTTTTGACTATCTTATGCCACTTTTTGCGTTTCCATCACCGAAATTGACCAAGATTTATAAGTGTAGTTCTAATTCAATTTTTTCATGTGTGGGATCAATGCGGGCATCCTGAGCAGGCAATATGGGCCTATCTTGCCCGTTTTGGTAGCCAATCAGAACACAGGATTCCCTTCATCTTGCCCACAGGTGCTGTGAGCAATGTAATAAAAACTCACATAATCAACACTCATGTACAGGTCAATAAAAAACAGAATAAAGGAATGTCATGGAATAGAGCAATGGATGAAGTTACTGCTGAAAAACTGATTCGTAAGTTCAAAGACAATGGGAAATTGGACTCTGAAGATCCAGCACTCTTGATGTTGAAAAGATGGCCAGCATCTAAGCAATACCAAGAGAATCCTGAGAAACTTCCAGGACTTGAACAGCTGGTATGTAATTTAATTGTGGAACAACTGTCAGAGTTACACGTGTCATATAATTGTTTTACAAAAAATAATTGCAGTAACTGAGAAACAATGAGTGAAGTATAACATTGAACAGCAGAGGCTTACTACGATTGGAGCAAGAAGAATGATTCACAATACCAGAAACTGAAGATATTCTGAATGAAAAAATAAACATGTTACTGTGATGATATTGCCTCAGAATATGTACCTCCTTTTACTTCCCTCTGACACACTTTTCAGTTAGTATGTTCCATGATTATGTTATGCAAGAAGACTAAAAATTAGGTATGTTGTGGGAAGTTGCTAATGTTTTAGCTGCAAGAACCACGTATTTCTATTTTATGAGGTTTTCAGTTATTTCTTACAAGAACTATGATTGAAAATTATTCCTTATTTGTAACTGTGAATTGAAGGTTTTCTTTGATTTATTAGTACACTTACAACTCAGATTCCAGCTGGGGTGAGAAAGAGACATCTTTTCTAAACCCCCTGACTGGGATACCAAAATAGGACTTTAGCATGAGATTACCCTGCGAGCAGAGCCTTCTCTTCTTTTCCTCTTCGTTTCTTCTTTTTAAACCTCCAAGAGAAAAGGCTCTGCCGACATCCTGTTGTTGCTTTATAATGCTGAAAGCCCAAAACTCTGGGCTACTCAAGCCGGTTTTGCCTCCAGTCAAACCAGTTTTGGTGTGCACGCCTTTGTTTTTCATGTACACAGATGACCAAATCTGCACCCACAAAAGTTCAAGGGGGCCTGGAAAAGGATCCGTTTCTAGGCAACCGCTGTGCATATTCAAACAAGCAACAACAGGATGTCGGCAGAGCCTTTTTCCCTTTTCGATTCAAGGATGGGGTAAAAAGGCTCTGCTCGCAGGGTAGCATTAGATTAGACTTAACTCAAACCTTCTCTCACAGTTTTGTACATTTGGCAATTGAAAAAAAAGGAAAGAAAGTAAGCAATGATAGTGCATGAACTAGCTATTAAGCTATTGACCTTTTCAACTAGCCTGACTAGTCAATTGACTTTCAGGAGTATTTCTTTCCTGAGACATCAAGATGTTTTTTAATCCTGTTAATGATGTGCAGATATATTGACATCAAGATCTTTTTACAGGTAAATCGATTGTTGGAAATTCTGTTGGAAAGTGAACTGAACTCAGATAACAGATATGGGATGTTCAGAGATGTGGATGATAAAGCAGGGAAGACATTGCTGCACTATGCTGCAGAACTTGGATTTTTGTGTGTCACTAGAACTCTGTTGAATAAATTTCCATTGCTTTTGACAGTGGAGACGATAACACTGAAGAAAAAGCGAGCGCTGTTACCAGTTGACATGGCATTAATAGCAGAGAATGATGAAGTGGCAGCATATTTGATAAGAATGAAGTGGCCTGACAGGTAGAGTGAGAATTAATTTACTCCTCAATTAAATAAAGGAAAATAATTGCTTTGAAACTTGCATGTTGTTAATTGCCTTCAGTTGTTATAATGACTTTTGTAGGTCACTTGCTGCTCTGCACGTACTTCTCATCTGCCTTTGTCCCAAATTTAACTAACTGCTGATTATAAGTACATTTACCATGAAAGCAATTGTTAGTGAACTCCCATGTGGGTTTTTATGGGGCCACCCTCAAAATATTGAGAGCATCAGGAGGAAATTAAACTACTTGTATTGGTAAGGGCCATTTTATACCCATAACATCCCAGTTTGTGTTGCATATAGATACCATAGCAGTAAAATTCCATTCCAGGATGGGATACCAGCCAATTGCAGGTTACTACCCCCAACAGTTGGTTATGTTTTCCTAATAGTTTCCTATTGCCGTGTTATTCATACACCCAAGAGGAAAGATTCACCCTGAGAGCAATGTGTGTTTTCCAAGGGTACAACACAGTGATCTTGCCCTGGGTTCAAAACTGTGTTATTTGATCCAGAATTTAGGATGTTAATCCACAGGCTGCTAGATGTCTCACAATAGATATCTCTTAAAAAAATGAAGGAAGTTGTTGTTTATGACCTTTTCAAGTTTAGTCACTTGTAAATCAGTTCTCAGTGTATACAGAGCTTAGATACACAGCTGGCCATTAGTTTTGATTTCCCATCTTAATTTATTTAGAGCCCTGAGTCTCTTTTCATGGAATCCAGGTAATATGACAAACCCTCAGCCGTCCCATGTCAGTCTCAAATCCATTATTGACAATCCAAAGATGAAGGTAAGAGATTTTTATTTACTGGATTGATTAATGAGAATGGTGTTTCAATGCCTTCAGCAAATATTTTAAATTGTTCTACAAATAAACATGTTGGGTTAACCAGAAGCTTCTATGAGACAGTTAAAGTGCATTCAATTGTCAGTCTTGTTTTTGTATGACATCTGTCAAAGTAAGACAATTGTATTGTGTAACAATTACATCCGTAAATGGTAAAAAAACAAAATGAACACCAAAAAACCGACAAAAACCGAAATCCCAAAGCCCCCATCTTTATGTATTTGTGTCAACACGCCTATAGTCTGCCTGTGGATCGCTTCTTATTTACCTTGAAACTATAAATAAGCAGGGAGACGAAAATGACCAAGAAATATATTGAGACAAATCCTTTTTCCAAAACATTTCTTGATGGACTATTACATACATACATACCTACCTACCTACCTACCTACCTACCTACCTACCTACCTACCTACCTACCTACCTACCTACCTACCTACATACATACATACAAACATACATATCTTTATTTGATAAGTAGGTAAAAAAATTGGCAACTTTACAGCTGATGTGGACCTACTATAGTATTTCTGTAAAATAAGATAAGTAAGCCTAGAGTATAGTGTTAAATAAGAAACAGAATAAATATAAATGTGTCATAATATATCAGAAATAGTAAAAATTGG